CAGTGGCAAAGGAAAAGCTTCAAGGAAGCTCATGTTGGAGCCTTCTCAGTTCTCATCTTGACTCAAAATGATGGGAATTGCGATCTATCGGTAGTTAGCAAACCTCTGATGGCTGTTGGTAAGTCTGTATACTGTGTATATACCTTAATTACACCAGTACTATGGCTCATAGAAGCCAATTTTTCCGCTACTTCGTTAGCTTTTCTAAAGAAGTGCCTGGTAATCACTCCATGTTCTAGTACTATTTTCTTGATATGTACCGTAAGCAAAATAGAACTAATATATTAATGTCACTGAGAATTTTCTTCGTGCAGATGATCACTTTGTTTTTCTTTAATATGCATCTTAATTAACTTTCTGGACTTTTCTATGTAGTTCTAAGTAGGAATAAACTATTAGGAATCTGCTTTTGAACTGCAGTAAAATTACTGCCTATGTTTTAAGTAAGACTTAGTCAATTAGTTGTTAGTCTTGCTTTCCTATTATTTAGGAGTTGTTTAGTGACTGCTAGATCATGTGTTATTATTTTTACTTTTCATTCTAGGCTTTTATATATCTAGTCTAAAGCATTAGTAAAATAATTCTTCTTCGGCTTCAATTATGTTCTCTTCCCTTCTTTATGTTTTAGGTGCAGACTTTGATTTCCCTGTGTTATTGAACTTAAATATGTTTTTTTTAAACCTTCAATTGGTATCAGAACTTTATTTCTTAAGGGACCTGTATGTGTGGGCGCCAATCAGATTTGGTGAATACCATGAACGGAGAAGCAAGTTTTTCTTCAATGGTACCACCAACTTTTGGTGGAGAAAGTTATCAAATCCGGGTCTGTTAGAATGCAGGCATATCTTGAAGCTTTGGATCTCTAGGAGGCTGTAGAAGATGAATACATCATTGCTCCCTTGCCAAACAATCCAATGATGACACAAATAAAAAATCACCATGAAAGGAAAATTAGGAAACAAAGGCAAAGGAATGTTTATTTACTGCAGTTTCATCCACTTTCTTCACCCGTATCATGTTTCTGAAGTAGACAAAAGAGGTATGGGATTATCTTAAAGCTGAGTATGAAGGAGATGAGAGAATTTGAGGGATGCAAGTGCTGAATTTAGTACGTGAGTTTGAGCTGCAAAAGATGAAGGACAGTGAAACCATAAAGGAATACACTGACTGACTTCTTAACATGCCAACTATGTCAGATTGTTGGGTTCCACTTTTAACGATTCAAGGATTGTTGAGAAAATCCTTGAAACGGTACCTGAAAGATTTGAGGCGACCATTACAACCTTAGAAAATACTAAGGACTTGTCCAGTATACACTAACAGAGCTCTTAAGTGCCTTTCAAGCACAAGAGCAACGACGTGTTATGAGACAAGAAGGAGCTGTCGAAGGAGCTTTACTTGCCAAGTGTCAAGATGATGGATGATATATGAAAAAGAAGAACAAGAAATACCAACCAACAGATGGAGAAGGTGCAGAACGCAACAACAAAAACAAAACAGGCAGCTTCAAAGGAAACTACCCTCTTTGTAAGCATTGCGGCAAGATCGGACACACACCTTTCAAGTGTTGGAGAAGGCTTGAAGCTAAGTGCAGTAAGTGCAATCCATTTGGGCATGGAGCAATCATTTGTAAGAACAAAACTCAGCAGCAGGATGTAGATGCTTGAGTTGTAAATGAACAGGAGGAGGATCAACTATTTGTTGCATCATGTTTTGCAAGCAATGTTTCTAGCGAGTTGTGGTTGATTAATAGCGGATGCACAAATCGTATGACTCATGATAGAGAACTCTTCAAAGAATTGAAACCTACTCGAGTTGCAAATGCTCGAACAGGCCATGGTGGTCACATTCCAGTAAAACGAATGGGAACTATTGCAGTTGAGACACAAGCAGGGACAAAAACAATAACAAATGTTCTTTATGTACTGGACTTAGACCGAAACTTGTTAAGTGTTGGTCAATTGTTAGAAAAAGGTTTCAAACTTTATTTTGAAGATAAGTATTGCTTGATCAAGGATCCCTCAAGGCAGGACGTTTAAAGTCAAAATGAAAGGAAAAAAATTCTCATTAGATCCATTTGAGGAAGAGCAAATGTTGTATTCAGCAAAAGAAAATGTCGCTGAGTTATGACATAAGAGACTCGGGCATTATCATTATCAAGGGCTTGTCAAGATGCAAAAGTTGAAGATGGTGGAGAGCTTACCTGATCTGGAAGAAAATTCAACTGAATGTCACGCCTGCCAATTTGGCAAGCAACACAGAAAGTCATTTCTAAAATCAACCTTGATAGCCTCACAAAAGCTATGAATAGTTCACACTGATGTCGCAGGGCCTCAAAGAACTCCATCACTACAAGGTAGCATCTATTACGTTCTTTTCATTGACGATTTTACAAGAATGCGTTGGATTCTTTTCTTGAAATTAAAGTCAGAAGTTGTTGGTGTATTCTGGAAATTCAAGAAATTGGTGGAAAATCAAGTAATTGTAAGATTCAAGCTTTGAGTTCTGATAATGGGAAGGAATACACTTCAACGAAATTTGATTCGTTCTGTGAGGAGGCCGGTATTGTGCATCAGCTTACAACACCATACACACCATAACAAAATGGTGTTAGTGAAAGAAGAAATAGATGGATAATGGAGATGGCCAGATGTATGTTGCATGAGAAGGAGTTGCCCAAGATATTCTGGGCAGAGGCAGCAAATACCACAGTTTTTATGCAAAATCGACTTCCAACAAAAGCTTTGAAAGATAAAACACCATTTGAAGCTTGCTACGGGTTTAAGCCTTCACTAAGTTTTCTTAAAGTGATTGGTTGTGTCTGTTTTGTGCATGTTCCTCATGTTAAACATGACAAACTTGACAAGAAGGCAATCATAGGATCCATGTGGGTTACAATGGAGTTTCTAAAGCCTACAAGTCCTATCATCCTCAGACATGAAAGATAACAATTACAAGAGATGTTCATTTTAGTGAGAATGAACAGTGGGACTGGAAGAACTCTCAGAAATCAGGAAGAAGCTCTCTAGAAGCAAACATCAGCCCTCCTGAAGAGCAAGAACAGTGGCAACAAGAACTAGAAGATAATCATCAAGTCAAGGGGAGAAGATTGTTGTCAGATATCTATCAGAGGTGTAATTTCGCCATCTATGAACCTGCTGGTCCCATAGAAGCTTTGCAAGACCCAAAATGGAAGAAGGCAATGGAGGAGGAGATCTCCATGATTGAGAAAAATAAAACTTGGGTGATAGTCAACAAACCTGAAGATAGAAAAGTCATTGGTGTGAGATGGGTCTTTAGAACAAAGTTAAATGCAGATAGTTCCATCAACAAATACAAGGCGAGGCTTGTAATTAAAGGATACGCACAAATTTATGGTGTTGATTACTCTGACACTTTTTATTTTGTTGCAATATTACACAATCAGATTGCTACTCGCAATAGCAGCACAAATGGAATGGAAGGTGTTCCAACTTGATGTCAAATCAACTTTCTTAAATGGCATACTGGAGGAGGAAATGTATGTTGAGCTACCATCAGGATTTGTGAAGCACGGTGATGAAGACAAAGTCTATCTGCTAAAAAAGGCTTTGTATGGCCTAAAGCAAGCACCAAGAGATTGGTATAATAGTATAGATGATCATCTGTTAAGCTTGGGCTTTGAAAAAAGCTTGGGCTTTGAAAAAATGCTTGTCTGAATCGACTCATAAAGACACTGATATCCTTATTATGTCTTTATTATGTCACTCTATGTTGATGATCTTCTGGTAATAGGAAATAATACAAGGTTGGTTGAGGAGTTTAAAGAAGAAATGATGAAAGTTTTTGAAATGGTAGATCTTGGTCTTATGACCTATTTTCTTGGAATGGAGATCAAGTAAAGCAAAAGTGAAGTGTTCATTTGCCAAAAGAAATACGCAAGGGAAATTTTGAAGAAATTTCAGATGGAGGAATGCAAGTCGATGAGCACGCCGATGAATCAAAAAGAGAAGCTCTGTAAAGAAAATGGAGCCAACAAAGTTGATGAAGGTTATTATAGAAGCTTGATGTATCTCACTGCAACAAGGCCTGATATTTTATTTGTTGTAAGTCTCTTATCTCGTTTTATGCACTGTGCAAGTGAAATGCATTTAGGAGCAGCAAAAAAAAGAATATTAAGATATATCAAAGGTACTATTGACTATGGTGTGAAGTTTGGGAAGTGTCCAAGCTTCAAGTTACTTGGATTCTCATATAGTGATTGGGCTGGATCCGCAGAAAATATGAGAAGTACCTCTTGCCATTGTTTCAACGAATATTCTCTTAGTCATCTAAGAAACAGGAAATGGTTGCACAATCAACTGCAGAAGCTGAATTTATAGCAGCAACAGGAGCAGTAAACCAAGTCTTGTGGCTTAGAAAGATCATGTATGATTTACATTTGGAACAGAAGGAAAGTACTATCATTCTTGTCGACAACCAGTCAGCTATTGCAATCTCAAACAGTCCGGTGTTTCACGAGAAGACCAAGCATTTCAACATCAAGTTCTATTTCCTGAGAGAAGTGCAGCAAAGGGGAGAAGTGAGTCTAGTCTACTGCTAGTCTGAAAACCAGCTAGCAGATCTGTTTACTAAGCCTTCACCGGTCAGTAAATTCGAGCTTCTTAGACAGAAAATTGGAGTTTGCAGTATCCAAAACAAGGAGGAGTGTTAGGAATTTGCTGTTGAACTGCAATTTTACTGCCTATGTTTTAACTAAAACTTAGTCAATTAGTTGTTAGTTTTGCTTTCCTATTATTTAGGAGTTGTTTAGTGACTGCTAGATCATGTGTTATTATTTTTACTTTTAATTCTAGGCTTTTATGTATCTAGTCTGAAGCATTAATAAAATAGCTCTTCATCTGCTTCAATTCTGTTCTCTTCCGTCTTTATATTTTAGGTGCAGACTTTGATTTCCCTGTGTTATTTAGCTTAAATAGGTTTTTTAAAACCTTCAATAACTGATGATTGAAGTATCACAGGACCAAAGTCGTGCTCTGGATATGATCCAAAATGACCCGGAGCTCTCTAGCCTGATGTTGGTTCAGGCACCCCTTGTTGATGTAGAGATCAGAGGTGTGCCAGCTCTTCAGTTTTTAGGGGACATTGTCTGGAAATAAAGAAAAAGAACTTGACACTGCATCAGCTAATCAGGTATCATTCTTGTAAGTTGTATTGACTATCCATTTCGTGTGATTTTTCCTGTTTACCGATGATGCTAAAATGTCATTCTAGAAGTTCAGACAGTAACCATTGGATAATCTCCTCTGCAGCATAGCTTAGTTGTCTCTGGGAATTATTGCTACTTTGACACAGCACTATTGCATTGGGTCTTGTCCTTTTATTCTATCTTTGAGATGACAGAATGGACATTTCTTTTGTTTGTTGCATGTATAAACAAAGTGTTAACTCAATATGATATCCTGGGATTGTGATGGAAGTGTCAAATGGATGCACATATGCTACAGCCTTATCATTTTCTTTTGCTAAAGTTTTTCTTATTATAATCTGCACTTATACAAGCTTCTTTTTCTGAGTAATACAGATGTTTCCAGTCGCATTTGGCAACAAACTGCATTGATGGACTATGAGCACCCAAGCCTTTTGATGGTCTTGCTCTTACTAGTAAACACTAATACATGCAATACTCATGTTATTTTACTTAAGTATACACAGTGGGAGTTTCCTTGGGACGAGTCAACAAAAATGGGGCTGAAAAGAATTATTTGTTTTCATATCAGTGACTTGACATTTGAAAATGAAAAAGAACGTGGCAAAGAACTGGTGGAACAAGTAAACTGGACGTCAGTCTCCCGTTTGTTTTTTTCTTCTCTTGGGACATAGTGAACTTGTTTTGTTGTATAAAATGGGCTGTACGATGCTTTTATTTTGTGGATTTCGAAACAGCTAAGAAAAGGCTTGTGACTGTGTATATAGATATGCTTCTGCCTTTATGTTCTGTCAAACTCGGTATACTAGATTTTTCTAGTTCTAATATACAAGTGAAATATACTACAACACTTGCCTTACACCCCAGATCCCCCTGCCCTCTGCCTCAATTTTTTGTCGAAAGGCATTTCTGTACTTGTAACTCGGTTGACTGAAAGAGAGTTCTCTTTTCCATTGTTTTTGGGTCTGGAGATCATTTCATTAAAAATCAAACAAATGGTGGAAGCCCAGTCTATACAAAAAGAAAGGAGATCTGGCCCAAAATTAGACTCAATCCGAAATAAGGAATACGAAAGATTTACTAAACAAAACAAATATCCGAGCTTTGTAATAGCGTATTTGGTACTCTATTATTCTCCTCGCCTCCACCATTTGAAAATATTTCCACCATGGTTGAGCTTGCAGCTTTTCCTTGAATCTTGATACCTATTTGTTTAGCTATTGGCTTTGTCTATCTCTTCACTCTCGCTTGGTAAGTGTTCTTCCATCAACTCCCTCTCTTTTTCCTTCCTTTGAGATGATCTTTCACATTTCTTTCTTGGGTGGTCTGTTTGTTACTATAAGGGACCGTAGAAACACTTCATTCCAGCTCAAATTTGGCTCTTCCTGTAAGCATTTGTTATCTCATATTTGTCTTCTTGGAATTTATTTTGCTCTTCTCCTTACTTCTCGTGTTTCTTCATGTCCCTTTGCAGGTGATGTTGAGTAGATGTTGCATTGTCTTCTTTAAGATTCACTTCTGAAAAGCTCCAATTACGCAATACCCAACGAAGTTTGGTAGCAAGTTTTAGGTGAGGCACAAGTTGTTTCCCACTAGATCTGACACCACTTGCAGTGGACACGGTAATTTTCATTGCAAGTTGGATATCAGAGTTCTCAATAAACTTTGGAGAACTTATTGCAAAAGAGATAAGACACAGAGTGACTAGGCCACCTAGTTCTTTACTTTTCTTCAACTTAATGACAAGGCTATGTAAAGCAGAAGTTGCTTATTCATGTCAGAATTGATGTGGAAACGGTAGTAACTAAGAGGTTCCACATTGAGAAGATGAGGGATGAGTTGAGACTTGAGATGTGAGTTCATAAACTAGTGCCACAAGTATTTGGTATAGGTGCACATGCAGGAGCCAGTGTTGGAGAGTGTCCTCTGATGTCCACTAGCACTACTATACCGACTTTTACACCCTCTACATTAGAGGCAACGGGAGCAGACATCGTAGAGTCTACTTAGTTTATTGAGACTACTTCATCATAATCACAGTTCTCACCATATGCTCTTACACCAACAAATTTCATGAGATTGGTAAAGATGGAGGATCAATATGAGAAGCAGAGGAAGTTACTTGTTGAATAACTAGGTCTGTTTGTTGATACGGCCATCACAGAGGTATTGGGGTTGTATAAAGACTTAAATGCCCGGATAGATGATATGCAATCCCAAGTTAATGATTGATTGTGATATTTGATAATGTTTGATTTGGCAAGGTTTGTAGTTGAGCTCGCCAATTTAAGGCTGACGTTGCTCACGTAAGTGAGAAAGTGATAGAGGTGTTCCCGGTTTTAAATATTGAGGGATTGGATAGGGAAGAGACATTTATTGATGTACTCACTATGCTTCCTTAAGTGTAACAACCCGGAAATTGGGAAGTCGAATTGAAAGGAAAAGTTGCATTTTTGGCACTAAGGCGATGTCTTACAGAAGCCATCTACCGATAGTAAGAAGTCCTACGGATCGTAAGAATGTGCCTTATGAAGGCACTCGTTGGATTGGGTTGAGTTTTAAGAAATGTGAAGTCTCTGATGTTTGACCTACAAGTGAACAGGAAGAGCTTTCTACGAGTTGTATGAGGGTTTCATAAAAGTGACCCAAACTTAGTGAAATTTTAGACATAAAGTTTTATTCTACAAAAGAGTTCTATGAATCATAGAATGGAAGACGATCCGTAGAATGGTTTCGTGGAAGTTGAATGGATTTGTATGCCCTAGTAACAGGTTCTTTGGTATACCAGAACGGTTATTAGAAAGACCTACGGATTGTAGGTCCAAATCATTGACATGTTTGGCAGTTTTAATTAAGGGTGCTTTGATCTTTTCCTACCCAATTAACCCCTTAACTACGTTGTCTTGGCCCTATAACTACCCTATAATCGTTTTTACTCATTAACTAAGCCTAATTTCTCTCCTTTAAACTCAATATCTCGTAAAACCCTCAAGTCTTCTTCTCCAAAATTCTCTCTTAAGCTTCAAGGTGGAGAACTAAGATTTGAAGCTTCAAGGTGTCATTCTCTTTGCATTTTTAGGGCTTTCATTATCAAGATATATGGGAATTCACCTATAAATTTTTTTCACCCATTGAGTACCAAAAGAATCTCAATAACACATTTAATTTCACCCAATTCTCTTTGGGTTTCATGTAAATCTCCGTGGGTCCTATTTATTATGATTCAAATATTTATTTTCAAATCTTATTATGCATGATTTGATTCAATTACATGGTTTTTAATTGATTTCATATGGACTCCGTGCCTATGAACATGAACTATACATTATGCTTATGAACCTATGGATTATGATTATGAAAGTTATGCATGTTTATGAAAAATGATGATTTATGAACTATGAATATCATATTTATTATAAGTGGAAGCTCCAAAGTAGAAAAGTTGAATTATAATTTTACTGTTATGCTAAATTCAAATGTTATTAAATAAATGTTTATGCTTATGAACCTTAGTATATTTGAATTCTTTTATATATTTTATTCTTAGATTAAAGTTTTGTTTATATAGTACATTTAAATTTTATAAATTGTTTAATAAATTAAATATTAATATTAAATATTAAATAGTAAATCATCATATTAGTATACATAACTTACCATCAACTTGTAAATGTATGCAACTCTCACTAATTATATTCATTATGTTCATTACTCTCATTTCTCATCGATAATCTCAAATGGATTAATATTTATTTACGACAACTCTTTGTACTCAATGCTATCCAATAATAAATAGTGACACTTCACACAATAATATATAAACTTAAACCAATTGAAAAAAAATGAGAAAATCTCTATGCTCTCTTTTCTCGTCTCTTTTTATTTATTTAGTTTAACATTTATGTTTCTTGCTTGTTGTTATTGTACAACTTACTTTCTATTGTTGTGTTATTATTATTGATAATTTACTATGGTCTGTTGCTTTGTATACATTAACCTATCATGTTGTATTTTAATATCTTCATTGGAATATTGAATTTGTGTGATAGTTATTTTTACTTTATGCACTTTTAGTCAATTTTATAATTAAAGATATAATATTTTTACTGGAAAGATATATGTAGTTTCTATCGAAACAATGATAAATTTTACGATACAAAATTTATATGAAGTATCTTGGGATAAACGTGCAACGCACGTTCCTAAATCTAGTTTTTTAAATAAGTACGATTTCTGAAAGGTTTTCTTACATATGAATGAAATCATGATTTAGATACAAGTGTTTATATTGAAGAAGCTTATGGGATCATAGTTTGAAAGAAACTACTCTACAATGAATTATGATTTGGATTGGTAGTTCAATTGTTTCTTTACAAATATTTTGATACAAATATTATTATGTCTTTTCCATTGGAATTTATTTATCACCAAGAGGACTTTGAGATGGAGAATTTTCAGTTAGCAGAGGTTGGGTCTCTAAAAGCAATTTCTTTTTCTCAAACTACGTGTCAGTCCCAATAGAATTTTCTTAAATGACCTAGCTAGTGGATCTACAATAGCAGTTATGTGATAAAGTCTACCTTGGCAAGTAGATTCCTCTTTTCGGCGTGAGATTCATGTTGTATTCATGGTATAGCTCACATGGCCTTATTGTTGGTTAACGGTAAACATCCCACAAATGAATTATGTTTCTTCAAAAGGTTTATAAAAAGGCTTCTCCAATGATTTAAGTATGAATTGACCTTGATTAGGCTTTTACTATGTTTTACTTGGTCATGCTTATTATGTTTAAGGTTCCCCCATTGAAATGCCTATGTTTTTATGCATTTTTCATACTTAAAGCACTCAATGTACTAATGCATAGTTGCACCTCTATTATCTTATAATATAGGGCATGACACTTCTCCTTCATGGACATGCTCAAATCAGGATTGCTCATCTTGATCATTGAGTGGGTGACTCCTCATGCTTCGAGGGAAAATAAGTTTTAGATTTGTATGTGGTGTATGAATTACGTCTCAATCACTTTTATCTTTTAGAAAGGCTTTTATCAGACGAATCATTCCACATATTTCTTAAGTACTATGTTGGTATCTTTTATGACGTCTTATGATTTGAGACCTATATGTGTTATATCTCTTGATTATATTGTTATTAAGTCATGCTTATATCAAGTGGTTTGTTTAGGGTATCTCATGATCCGATTCAACATGTCATATATAGGGGAATGTATCACAAGCCGCATGTGATAGAGTCTTGTTCATAAGTGTGAAGCTCGACACATTTATGAATAGAAGGCTACAAGGTGTTTAGGAAACTTCACTTCTTTCACTACACTAAAGTCGTTTCATGAAGTTTATCTTTATATAGGACTTTCTCCTAACTTTTGTCTGATGCTTTTTAGGATATGCCTCCTCAAAAAGCTAACATAACACGAAATGAAATGCCCGATATTCCTCAAGTATCAGTCGATCCTTTGGCCGAAAAAAGTGACTCGTGCTGAATTTCGAGTCGCTTTTCATGCTTTGGCTCATGCTATGATGACCCAAGAAAATAAAGAGGTTATTGCTTATGTGAACCCAATTGTTGATACGACAACAATAAAGGTAAGTGACTTCACTCGAATGAATTCCCCAAAATTTCATGGGTCGAAAGTTGAGGATCCTCAAGAGTTCATTGATGAGATATATAATATAGTGGAAAATATGGGAGTTTCAATGGCCGAGAAGACAAAATAGGTCGCTTATCAATTCAAGGGTGTTGTTCAAGTTTGGTTCAACCAGGTCCTTTTGATAGGGAGAAATTCAAATGGTATTTTCTTGATCATTTTCCCCATTGCGATTAGAAAGACAACGGTAATTCAGTTCATTGATCTTCGTATGAAAAAATATGCTTTGAAGTGTACTTAATTAGCTAAGTATGCTCCAACTAGGCTACCGACTCTAGGACAAGGATGAGTAACATTGATTAGGCTTTTACTATGTTTTACCTGGTCATGCATATTATATATAAGGTTCCCCCGTTGACATGCCTATGTTTTTTATGCATTTTCCATACTTAGTACATTCAATGTACTAATGCATAGTTGCATCTCTATTATTTTATAATATAGGGTATGACACTTTTCCTTCATGGACATGCTCAAATCAGGATTGCTCATCTTGATCATTGACTGGGTGATTCCTCATGCTTCGAGGGCAAAGACATGGACACTTTTATTACTTTCATTGTATTTTCAGTTTTAGATTTGTATGTGGTGTATGAATTATGTCTCAATCACTTTTATGTTGTAGAAAGGCTTTTATCAGACGAAGCATTCCACATATTTCTTAAGTACTATGTTGGTATCTTTTATGTCATCTTATGATTTGAGATCTATGTGTTATATCTCTTAATTAAATTGTTATTAAGTCATGCCTATGTCAATTGGTTTGTTTAGGTATCTCATGATCCTATTCGACATGTCATATCTAGGGGAATATTTGTCCGATGCTTTTTCTTTATTTTTTTAAAATTTTTGTCTTTATTCTTCCACTTAATTTTTGTCTTCTACCATTGCCTTCACGTGTACTGCAACAGTTGACATATCTACTATTGCGGGACGGATTTCGTGGTAACAATATAATTATTAATCAAACTATCACCAATTAATTTATTTATAAAAATCAATTCTGTCAAATTATTAAATCTAAATACTCAAAATATTACCAAGTTAAATTTGACATTTAAATTATTAACTTCTCCAACTTCTTACTCCCAAATCGAATTTCTCAGAGTTTCACTATTTCTAAATTCCTATCTTGATTTGTAGAAGGTAAAAAATTACTAAACTTATTTTTTTTTTGTAAAAAATAAAAAATAAAAATAAGAATGAACACAATAACATTAGTTATAAAGGGAAACGAGCAAAGGAAAAATGAAGGAAGCTATGAATGTCTAAAAAATATGGGTAAGCTAATGATGGTAGGGAAGATGAGAATAATGATTTGAAAAATTAAGAAAACTATTTCTAATAAAGTTTTAAAAAATTAATACATGTGTTTTTATATATATTTTTTTAAGAATAAGTCAAATTGAAAGTGGCATGTGGCAATTTTACGTTGGTTTGAAGCTGCACCAAGAGTCCTTCACGCGCCCATATTTTGTACAACACGAGTGGTGTTAAATTTAGTCAAAATGGTATATTTATTATGAATTTAGATAGTTTTGTGAAGTAATAGGACACTTTAAAGTTAAGGCGCCATTATGCAAATACGAGAATATTTCAATAGTGACTTTATATCTTTTCTCTTTTCTTTAATTCATAAAGGGTATCTTTTTTTTATGATGGGAATGTCGGAATCCGGCGAATCACCACCCAATGACCCCCCATTTCACCTTCCTTCTCCCTTTCCGTTTCTGGCAAGCAACCATGGCCACCAAACACCCATTTTACTTTCTTTCTCCAGTAAACAACCAGCGTCCACCCCTGTTCTTCTTGTCTTCTCCGACCAGCTCAAAGCCGGAGCAACCAACCTTCATTGCCAGCCAACTCTATTCTTTTTTCCGACCAACAACATGTCAAAAACCCCAAGCAAAAAAACCTTCCTCCTTTCTCTCCAGCGAGTAATCACAGCCAAACCACCACCCAAGAGCACCCTTTTTCCAGTGAATCGAAGCTACAACAACGCTAGGCCCCCGTCTTTTTCCCTTTCACATTTTCTTTACTATTTTTACACGTATTCACAAGCTTTCAGATCCGAGCTTTGGTGAAAGACACCCAGAACAACACTGTAAAAAAAAACCTTTCGTTTTTTCCATTTTTTCGGCGAACAACTCCAATCTCCAGCGAACGAATCTGATGGGACCAAACATCATTTTTACCATCTCTTTTTCCAAGCTTCAACACACCTCCAACAAACATAGGTGTCCTTTTATTTTTATTTTTTTCTATTTTTTATTTTATTTGTTCTTTGGGTTTTAGATCCGGGGGAAGGGTTCACACTCCAGCCATCGTTGTTTTTTTTGGTGATATTTTGTCTTCTAGTGTGACTACTATCATTTTGGTTTATTGCTTGAATAAAACTTTGTTTGAGTCCTATGTTTAATAACATCTTTTTCGTTCTCTTTTATTACGGCTATTAGATATTTATTTAAATTGTTCTTCTACTATTATACTTGTTTCAGTAAAATGGTTTGTATATTTAATCCTGTTTGTTGATTTATTTTTGTTCATTAATCCTTTTTGTTAATGACTATTTCCGCCTTATACATTATTTTGGTTAATTTATTTTATTGTTGAGATTTATGTCTATTTGGAATCTTGAGTTATTTATTCGCTTAAGTGAATTAAGTCAGATGAAAAATAATGTTGGTATTTTCTCGTTATTGTGGTTATCATAGTTGGTTTTATTTTAATTTTTTAAATTATTTTTCAGTCATTCTTGTTGTTGTCTTTATGTTTACTTTAATTTATTATTTATTTTGAATTGTCTAAAGGTTGTTAGCAATTTACTATCGGTCTATTTTTAACATATTATTGTTTTGTTATTGTGGCTTTCTGTTTGTGCAATTTTTTTTCCTCCTAAACTATTTTGTTGAAATAATGTTGGATATGATATGTTAAATTGGGCAATGAAAAAATCTTTCCATCGGTTTTAGAGGCCTCCTCAATGTTAAAAGACGGTTTAGTTTATCTTTATATATTTTGCTTGTTAAAAGTGTCCGATTAAAAATTATCAGCGATTCTAATGCCTTACATGTTTACAAGATGGATTTTTATTTTGAGGTTATTATTTAAGCCATTAATTTTTATTCATAATTAAATTTGATACTAACACTTTTATCAAGTGTCTTTATAGGTATCCAGCAGTCGCTTCCCATTGAAACTATTCGAATAAAGTTCGAATTTCTTTGAATAATGTTTGATCTATTATTGCATGTTATCGATGATAGGAAAATTTAGGCCGTCTTCTATTTGATTGTTTTATTTCATTACTTGTGTATATTGTGTATTTGTTTTAGTTGTATACTCTTTTTATCTCCTTCTCAATTTGAAAAAAATGAGTTCCGTCGGGATCCATCATTGTAGATTTCAAAGGGTGCATAAGACCTTCCCTTTGAAATAACCTGAAACCTTACCTAGAATGTAATGGTTTCGTAGATAACTTAAATGATTTCCTATTTTTTCCTAAAATTAGGTGACGAATCATTTTAAAATTTGTTTTATTATTTAAAATATTTAAAATTAAATTAATCCAGTACTTTTGAGTCACCGCGACGTTTCTCCCTATTTAAATAAATTAGCGATGTAAACATCCATCATCAAAAGATGCTCCATAACCATCTCCTAGAGTCGAAAACACATGTATGGCCAAAATTACATTCTCTGACGATGATCTTCTATTTGATGACACATTTCATAATCACCATTTTATTCATGGTTGGTTTTGCACATTATAAAAGCAAAATAAAATCCTAATTGATGGAGGGTTTGGGATCGACATCCTTTCAATTCACAAAGAAAGAACTTCGGATATCAACAACATATCTTTCTGATAGTCGTTTGATGATCTAAGGGTTCAATCAAGGATGACAAAGGTCCATATGGACTATCAAAATATTCCATACCATCGAAGAGTTCCAATCAAGTGCGTGGTTACATGTAAATGATACAAAAATTCATATAACATTTTGCTTTGTACGTCGTGAGTACACGAGAACAAAGTAATCCCAACTACTTTCCACAAATGTTTGAAGTATTATGAGGATGCTGTCGCAAAAAAGATTATTGCAATGATAATCCATTTACTGAAGCTGAAGGTCACTTTGCCAATGCAAAGTTTTACTTGAAGAAGTATTCCAAAAAAATTGATGACATTGCATCGGGAGATGTCAGACTCCTTAACAAGATGGCTAAGGTAGCGGTTAGTATGGCAAAAATTGAAAACAAGGAAGATCCAAATCTTGGCAATCCAAAAAGGATGCCTAATATGATTGGTGCTTTTCAAGTAAAAAGGTTACATGCATTCTTCGCTATGTCCCAAAGGCAAAAGAGGAGAAGGGACACTCTCTCGAGTTGCGAGAAAATACACTGGAAGGTTTGACCTTCATGTAAGGCAAATTGATATGATGAAGTTATCCAAAAAATTTCTTGGGAAGTTTGTGGTTTCTAAGTCATTACTTCACGGAAAATTTGTGGCCCCTAAGTCACCCAATATGAATCTCTCCCAATGAGGCGTATAGAAGAAGTTTTTATCCTAATGTCTACTGACTGCTACCAAAAGCTAGATTCAATCCTAACAAATCGTCAAAATTGGTGAAGCTCTCGTTAGAACAACCTCCACCTATCTGCATATCCATAAAAGGTAAGAAACAACTACACCACTCTGATAGATGAGTCTGCTAATTCTTACAAAAGGCCTCCTGTCTTCGATCGACATAGAAGATAAACTTAGAGGACGTCTTGACCGGGGAGTACCCCCTAAACGTAACCGGCATTGTCATCCTCTAGAGGACTTGGATAAGCCCTTGACATTCGTCACACCATATCATAGGTAAAAAAATGGAAAATTTAAAACTCTTTACATATTGAGGTGTACATAGACCTCTCACAAATCATATATGGAGTTTACTTAGACTCCTCACATATAAAGCTTACTTGGGCATCTCTTCTAGGCAACATAACCAATACATATGAATTTAGTCTAATACTCTGTGTCACATTAAACCATCTATATGAAGTACAACATTTGGGCATAGGCCTTATGAAAGTACATATTTTCCATATAGGGCTTACAACAATGTCTCCAACAATAGTAAAACAAATGATGTCTTTAGAAAATACAAATATTATTAAGGTATATTATGTGGCACATCCTCGAACTAGAGGATGTATCGAATCTTGGGGAAAGTCCAAGTCTTCTTGCAAAGTGGTCTAGAATCTCTTCAATGACCGAAACCTACAATATTGAGGAAAAGGGAAGAAATATGGGTTAGTACAAACCACATGTACTAAGTATGGTTCTTATGCATAAAATCATCAAAGCATGAGAAAAAGGAACAATTTAGTCAAAACCATGCTTAGTGTTATATAACCTTATCAAAGCACATATATAGAATGTCATACTCAACCCAACTCATAAGCAACTCAACATACAAGTAACTCAACATAACTTTATATTTCGTCATAACATGATTCGTTCAAAAGATCATATATGACGACATACATAGCATATAATCAACTTAGTCACTCAAGAACACTACTAAGATCACCCCTTAGGTTCCCATATGTGCAATGTGTGAGAGAAGTCCCATACCCTCTCTCATCGTATGTAGTAACCTTTAAGACAACCCTAATAAGATCTCACATGCTTATCTTGTTCATTTACTTTTTATTT